ATATACAATTCAATAGTTATAATAAGGAATGATATTAAAATGCAATTAATACATGTAACATGACCATAAATAATCAACATATTTATGGTAATCCGAACCTAATGATTTTTTGTCTGGAGTTAAATTAAAATTTACCCAAGCCTAATAACGAAGCATGTAATTTTGCTACATATGATTTCGAAGCACCAAAAGCAGCTACGTAGGCTCAGCGCGTTCTGGATTAATAGGGGGAGGGGGATTAAACCACACAAATCATTCATGAATGACTATTTAAGCTAAAACAATGCAATTTGAAAGAGTGATAAAGTACTTACTTACAATTAAAAAAAATAAAATAAAGAAAGATATACAATAATCTTAACTAATTTATTGGCTAGATATTATTTGTTGCTACAACTAAGGGGGTGATTGTTTACAAAATAATTTACTCACTTTTATTTCAACTCAAAATCTAACTCAACTTTAATCCAACCCCACTATCTTTAATATTATTCATATAATTAAATAATACAAACAAATCATTCTTACACATCACATCAACTTTAATTTACTATTCATCTACTCACATAATTTTAACCACCTATTATTTCCAATCATTTATCTCTTACTTTTACATCAAATCAATTTTAATTATTTTATTTTAAATATTATTTTAATACATTCTTAAAATTCCACTACAATTAATCATACCACCTTTTTCAAAATTAACTATAGTTAACCAAAATAACTCAATTTGAACAAATTAATTCATAAACAATCAAGCTAGCTAAACTACTTGGCCCAATTCACGTAATAAATAACTGAACCTCGATGAGTCGATGGCCCAATAGCATCAACAGAATCAGTTATGATAGATGCGTCTCCTTCCTTCAGCCCTAAAATTTACTTCCACATCACATCGTCGTCTTTCCCGAACAACTCGACTCCTCAACTCCGGCCAATTTCCGACCAGTGTCCTCCTCCTCGGATATTATGACCATTGAATTTGGCGTAGCTCATAAAGTTAATTTTCTTTTAATCATTCAATCTAACACTGTCTTACATTGACGGACTGTATGTATCTCGTGTGGCGATAGGAATTGTAAGTCTCCGTGCTTATAGCCTTCAGGTTTCAGGTTTCTCTCTTGGTTTGCAGTTGTGAAAATCAGGTGCCCTTTTGCCGGAATTTCGAATAGAGAGCAAAAAATGGCCTCAATCGATCTGCTCAGCAGCTTGCCGGACGACATCATATTCAACATTCTCTCTTTCCTCCCGACAAAGCTCTCAGTGGCGTCCAGCCTTCTCGGAAAAAGATGGAGGTTTCTATGGGCCAATGTACCCTATCTGCATCTCGATCGCGTCGAACTCAACGGGTATCAACTGGAGACATTGATTACAACCGCCTTCGACCGTGGTATCTGGAATCTTTATCTTTATCTTGAATTCGATGCAATCCCTCGATCCCTCTTCAACTGCAAAACCATTGTCGACTTGAAGCTTGGTTATAGTAGAGTGTCACTCTCTGCTATGGACAATGTGTCTCTGCCTAGCCTAAAGAAGTTTTATGTTTATAATGTTGTGTGTGAGACTGATGATGCGCTTCCTCGCTTTCTTTCTGGCTGTCCGTCGCTCGAGGAGTTGATTATGGAATTCAATTTTGTGCAGAAAGGTGATTATGTGGGCCGCATAAACATATCATCGCCCACGATAAAGATGCTTCGCCTCATTCCTATCTTTTGTGGTCGTTCCTATGGATATAGGGTGATAATAAATTCCCCGTCCCTTAGGTATCTCCAATTGGATGCCTATGACTTGGGGTGTATAAAAATTCCGATAACCATGATCTCCTTAGTTGAGGCGGATATCAACTTAGAAAATTGGTTCTCAAATTACATAACGAATTACAATTCCACGGTGGTGAAGTTTCTTCGTTCTTTGTCTTATGTCAAGTGCCTAAAGATATCAGGTTGGCAATTTGTGGAGGTATGTTTTCATTCCTCAGTCTCTTAGTCCTCGTGTGAATTAGTTTTCGGCTTTGTTCTTATATATATATGCCTAATGTGGTGTTACTTTTTGCAGTTTATTCGTAAAGGACTTAGTTGTTCAAATGTGAAGTTTGATAATTTAACCAAACTTGAACTCCGATTGAACTTCAAATGGAGTTTGCTTGTGAAGTTCCTTAAAGTTGCTGATAATCTTCAAGTACTTATTGTAAGTGGAGTTTATATCGTTGATGCAATTGAATTTTTGTTTCTCGATTCTCTTATTGCAATAGCTCCTTTATTTGGTTTACTCATTTTGTTATGCTCCTTTTAGTGTGGGCAGGTTTATTTGGAAAAGGAATATTTGTGTCCGGAGCCTAAACAAGTGCCTAAATGCCTGTTATCATGTCTAAGAACTATAACAATTAAGTCGATGTGGTACAACGAGAACGAATTTGACATGGTAAGATATTTTTTGAGGAATTCTCGAGTATTGGAGAGGATGGAAATATTTAGCTCACCTTATGGATGCATTGATCTGGAAAACAAATTCCAAGCGCTTAAAAGAATTTCATTGTTTGAGCGAGGATCCAGCGCATGTCAGCTTGCCTTCCTACCAGGTTGTTGAGCGATTGGCCTGAGGTCTTATTATGTAGCTTTAAGTACTGATGTCTGCATTCGACAACTAAATATTCCTCAAGTTTTGTAGCAACTATTTTGACTTGCTTATGTTTCGTGCAATTGTGAGACGATGCAATTCGGGTATGCAACTTGATGATGATTCATAAACTCCGAAGTATTATGTTCAGTGTTGATCAAGAAACAAAAACACCATTAGTGTCTGATTTCGACAACTTACAACTAACGTTGCTAAAGTTCTGTAGTAACTATTACGACTTGCATATGTATCGGGTATGTTACTTGATGATGATTCATAAACTCCCAAACGTTATGTTCTGTGTTGCTCAAGTTTTATTGTTCTAGTGGCATTTTTACCCACCCTTCTTGCAGTAGCACCTTTGCTCATTTACCAAAAAAAAAAAAAAATGATTGAAAAATTCTCTACTAATTTTGTCTTGAGTTTAAGCTTCAATGTACATATTATTAGCATGTTTTGTTCAATGTATGTGACAAGATACAAGGTTCACTAATTTTTAGTTTTCATTTTACTAATTTTAAATATTGGTGGATCATACCATACAAGAATACACGAATAGTTGTAAACAAAACGAGCATGGCTCGAGCTCTTAATACGCAGCTTGAGCTGTAAACAAAATGAGAATGGCTCGAGCTCTTAATACTCAGCTGAGCTCAAACTGTTAACGAGTCAACCCAAGCTCGAATTGAACTAAACGAGTTGTAAACAAACTCAAGCTTCGCTCATTTATCAAACAAGCCAAGCCGAGCCGAACTCACGAGCAACCCCATTTTTTTTTTAACAGCTTTAGTCACAATCTATATGAATTTTGATTATGTCAAAAAAGTCCACCTTTCATTTTTAGTTTTCAAAACAGGCACAACAAATAGTTAATAAACTACTACTTTAATTAAACTATAAGGCCATGCGCCCATGCCCCTTTTAGTTTTCGTGCAAATCTATTTTTTTAAAGATATATATATATATATATATATATATATTTTGGAAAAAAAAAAAGATAATACAACCTTGAACTGAGGGCGAGAAAAGTTCACAGGTAAGCCGCCATATTTTCTGTACACACACATGAAAATAAACCTCTTAAACAACACAGTTCTGTTGAAAATTATTTGCCAGCCAACTGTTTGTGGAAATTCCCAACAGAAAATATATGGAGATAACAAGATTATATGGAATTGATCATCTTCTTCACATTGTGCTTAGAATTAAACTGCCCATTAAAAAATAATCTGAATCATGATACCCTCTGAATCCTACTGCTTTTTTTATTAGTTGTGAAAATCAGGTGCCCTTTGTCAGAAGTTACATGGAGGAAACCAGACAACAACCAAGTGGAAAGTGCCCAAAGCTTTCAGATAGAGAGAAAAACATGGCCTCGGTCGATAGGCTCAGTAGCTTGCCGGACGTCGGTTATATGCCATATTCTCTCCTTCCTCCCGACAAAGCACTCACTTGCGACCAGCATTCTCAGAAAAAGATGGAGATTTCTATGGGCCAATGTACCCTGTTTGGACTTCAGAGGATTTGATTTCTATTTAGGTGGAAGTGGAACACCACCCTCAGACATCATCCACATGGTTATATTGCGGCACGAGGCTAAAATAATGGATACTTTAACACTCTCTTACGTCCACTTCAACGAGTATCAACTGGAGACACTGATTACAGCCGCCATCGACCGTAGTATCCGGAATCTTTATCTTCATATTGGATTTGATACATTCCCTCTGATCCCTCTTCATCAGCAAAACCATTGTAGACTTGAAGCTTGGTATTAGTAGAGTGTCACTTCCTGCTATGGACAATATCTCTCTGCCTAGCCTCAAGAAGTTTCATGTTTATAATGTAGTGTGTGAGAATGATGATGCGCTTCCTCGCTTTCTTTCCGGCTTTCCGTCGCTCGAGGAGTTGAATATGACATTCACGTTTGCGGTCGGACGTGATTATGTGGGCTGCATTAATATATCATCACCCACGATAAAGAATCTTCA